TCCTTCCCCTGGATAGGGCTCTCTTCCTGCCATGACTGGCCTCTGAGTTGAATGGTTCCTCCCTGCTCTCCTTGGAAGCCCTGAACGCTGACACACAGACACATCTAATTCATGGTCATGGACACATCTAATTCATCCGCCTGCCCCTCTCAGCTCCTTTCCCCACAAAGGAAAAGAGCTTAGTAGATGTCTGTAAATTTCCACTGGGAAAGGCTCCTGAAGTGAGCTCTGCTGTGGCCATCACCATAATCCAGAGCAGGAATGAGAAGTAGGGCTTCCAGGAGGTGGGTGACACAGGTGTCGGTGGCACTCAAACTGGAGGGCTTGCTAGTGAGCACATAGGGTCCCGTGGCCACTTGTTATCCCACTTATTGTTCAGTAATGCACCCACAAGTTTTCTAACTCATCAGATTCATCTGGGCAAACTAGAGACATCTTCTCACTTAAGGGCAAAAGAAGTGTAGCAGCAGACATTTGCCGAAAATATGATTTTAGTGAAAATCATATTTTCCTCGGTCATCGTCAGTGATGGTCAATCCTGCCATCAGTAAGCTGAGCCAGGTGAAACTTGGCAAATTCTAAGCCCAGCGTGTGAAAATCTGGGGATGTCTGCCCTTCCTTTCCACCTTCTCCTGCAGTCTGCTCAGCACACTGCAGGACATCCATGCTCAGCTGTGTGGAATCACAGCAGGATTTGCAAATGGCAGCTCTTGATTCACACTTAACCAAAGGGGCATCGAAAGGAAGGGGCAGGAGGAGCCCAGTGCAGAGGACCATGGCACAGTGCTCTGGAATGGAAATGTGAAAGGAACCAACCTACCCCTTCATACCACGCTTTTGCATTGTGCATGGGACAAACGTTCTTTCAGGTGTGAAGCGATGTACAAAAGGAGATAATTTATGTTGGTGTAGATAAACAGCAGGAAAAGGTTGCTTATAAAGAAATGATTGAAAAGGCAATTCTAAAACACAAGTTTGAGTGCATTTTCCGTGCTGATGATACTGAGGTAATGGCCTCGGTAGGCTTTAACCAAGGTGACTATGCCTTATGACAACCCTGATATCTGTGAGGTGCATGCACTCAGATACCATTAGTTGGGAAAAGAAAGCAAACTATGATACGTCTGAGGAGCTTTTTGCTGACTTAAATGTGAAGTGCGCAGAAGAGGACTGCATTGTGTGCGATGTGGTTGGAGATAATCTTCTATGCTAGCAAGTCTGTTTTTAGCTTTATGGCATATATGTTTGATATTATAAACTCCTAAAATGTATCATTAATCACTAAATCATTGATAAAATGATGTTTTAAATGTCAGGCAATGTAATGGAGACAGTAAAAGAAAAACTGCTTAGTAGGCACACATTGGTTAGAGTACAAGATGCTTTGGGGCTTCAGCTTGGAGTTCAATGTGGAGTTCAATGTGGCTGACTTTGAAATGACATTCACATGGAGCCTTTGTACTTGGAGTTTACGGGACAGACCTTGGATGCACAATTGAATCTCAAGCATGAGGGAAACAGGAAGTTCTTCTCAGAACTAGAGTAGAAGAGTAAAGAAAAATACAACAAGACACTGCAATTGTTTTGATCTAACATTGTTGTTGATAACATGAATTAATTAAAATTGGAGAAATAAGGTACAATAAATATCAGTACATCAAAAACTTTTACTAGCACAAATTTCTCCCTCGAAATACCGAACACATAGTATTGATTTCCAGAAAAAGCACTTAACATAACCTCTTTGGAATAAAAAGAATATTTTTTCAAGTTGACTGGCTATGAAATAGAAAAAAAAATACCAGTAATTTTTCCTGTCCCTTTGATATCTACAACTGAAGGTACTTCTCACTGCAAACTCTTTCCATCTGTCATGCCGTGGGAAAGCATTTTTCACATTAGGCATAGTAATAAAAGATCATATCCCTTAGCCTTAGGCATCTCAGAAGAAAAAACATTTAAATACTGAGCATTGAAGAAAATAACCAGTCAGGCAACTTGATTTTAAGGGGTCACGTTCTATTAATGTGAAGATGGGAACTCCCATAGGGCATTTCTCAACATAGGAGATGAGGAGTATACATTTGGGAGGTTGTAGTGCAAAACACTTCTCTGTGAGGAGTGCAGGGCAGGGCCACTTCTGGAGGTCTATTGTCCTTTTCCCAGGGCGGAACCTGAGCGTCCCTAAGGGTTGCTGAGGGACTCCATGGCCTGGGTGCTGTGGCTCACTCCTGCCCAGAGCACCCTACTTCCAGGCTCTTTCTCTAGATTACAGGAGGGCATGGTGTGTCCTTCGGGGTGCCCAGGGCCGGTGCTCCCACAGTGGTGACTGAATCAGAGAGAGGGACCAGGCTAGTTCCGGCCTGGGGTGGGGCGGCCCTCCACACTCCTCACTGCTTTATACCACGGGGTGGGCTGGAATCCCACTGTTACTCACAGTTGAAAGGGATGGCGCGTCACTACAGGCCAGCACTGTAGCATCCAGCACATGTTTCAAAGGTGCCATCAGTGGCTCCAATTTCCTCACTCCACAGCCCAGGGCGGTGACCCTAGGGAAGGCTCCAGTTCCCAGGGGTGACTCAAGCCAGGAGATTCAGGGCCTCAGGGCTGGGTTTGAACCCTGCCTCTCCCACTCTGGTGCAATGCTGAGGCCCTAGGGCCTGAGTGTCCCACCCTGTGCCTGGGACCAGCAAAGGTAGCCCCTTCCCGGGGGTTCCCGGCCTGCCTGTGTGCTGGGGAGCTCCCCTGAGCCCTTCCAGACCCCGTGTCCACGCTCTGCACCCAGCTCTGTCCTGGAAGGCCGTGTGCACGCTTCTATCCTGGAGCTCCTGGGCCCTCTGGCTGGATTGGGCTGGGCCCGGGCGTGCAGGTGGGAGGGAGGGAGGGCTCTGGAGTGTGAGGGATGGAGACTTGGTGCCTGGCTCCCTGTCTGGGAGTCACTTCGGTCACCTGGGCTGAGCCCCTGCTCTTCTCAGCACAGGCTTCTCCTCATTGGTTTCCATCCTCCCAGGTCCCCATCGAAGCTCCTTGCTGTCATCGGCTTGTGCCTGAGGAACAGCAGCTGGCTGCTCCTGGAGACCGTCCACCCTCCATCAGCTCTGTGCTTGTTCTGCTCTGGATGGGCCCAGGGTCCCAGAGGGAAGAGAATGGCTGCCTCTAACATCTCCCCTTTCTCCTTTTTGGTCACAGAGCATAGCACACACCACGGAGATTCTGCCCCTTATGTGGTGCTCTGTGTCGTGCTTAAGTCTGCCTTCGACAGTGAAAAGTGAGCATCAAGAAGGTGGTTGAAAATGGAGCTAAGGAATATTCGGATCAAGCCAGTGGCAGCTCTCAATACAGCAAGGACAGAGGGCCAGAAGGCAAGAACTGCAGGAGCCACGCAGGGGTCCCTGGTCCTGGTGACTGAGGTGAGACAGGCAGGGCCCCTCTCAGTGTACTGCTGAGCCTGGGATCGTGGAGCATGTACTGGAAAATGAAACCAGTGGGACAGGGAAACTGCAATACACTGATCTCGCTGTACATTGGTGACCTTGAATTTTTATTCTTCATTTTGGTGGAAAGAGTATGGCTGGGACAGGAGTTGCCCTGTAGCTCTATCGCAACACTTTAAACAAATACGCACCAAGTGCATCCCTAATGCTCTGATGGTTTTCAGTGGATATACTCTTAAAGACAGTACGCACATTGAGAAAACAATTCCAAAAAGTAGTGGAAACCTCTCATTTCAAAAACGTTTATTCAGATTTTGACCTGCTGTATTTGAGGTAGTTGGCATGTGTGGGTTTTCTGCTGTTTGTTCATTTCAGGGTGTTGTTCGGACAACAGATTGCAGGAAGGAACCCTGTACTTCTCCCCCAACCACTTATAAGTTGGTTTGTGAGTATTTAAATAAAGGGAAGAAGTACTCCCCGGGCACCCTTGGGGTTCGTAAGACACAGATGCACTGTGCTCTGGCTGGGATCCGTGTCCCGCAAGGCACTGATGTTGAACACTTGCTTCCCGGGATGGTGGTAATGGAGGTGGCAGAACCTTTAGGAGACAGTGCGCAGTGGGCAGTCCTTAGGCCTTTGAGGGTATTCCCTTGAAGGCAGTGATGGGTCCCCAGTCTATTTCTGTCTCTCTCCTTGCTTCTTGGTTCAATGGGTGAGCAGTTTATTCTCCCACGTGCTCCCACCATGAGAGTAGGAGGCCCTCACTGGAGGTCAGAAGACATGGAGCCATTTGACCCTGGATTGGCCCTTCCAGAATTATGGGCCTAAATAAACCCATTGTTTCTGTGAGCAGCAGTAGCTTCTGCTATGTGATTACAGTAATGGAAGCTGCCCGATTCTCCTTGATAGCATCGTTCTCCTAGACCATGTTGGACAGTCGTCCTGGGAATGAATGGTACTGGTTTGCTGTGTCTGGATCTCAGGAGAGCATGTGGGGTGGCCTGTCTCTTTGTGTGTGAGGTGAGCAGGGGAACCGGAAGCAAAGCTCTAGTGGTGCTGGTCATGTTTCCTTTGTTGGTGTTATTATTTGTTTTTCTATATGGAGTTCTATGATTTCCCAAAGGCAGTGAGGCGTGTCACCCTATTGGAGGAGGGTATGCCTAGGGGTCAGGAAGCTGAGGAATTCTAAGTGGCCATGGGAGCAAAGCAGGTAGCATAAAAAGGTAACCTGGCTTTAGCCAAGGAGTAGGCGGCTTCCAAGGTGCATATGACTGAATTGTAGGGGGAAACATGATGGTTTCCTGGACCACAAGGGCCTGGAGGGATTTCCTATGGCACATAATGAGGAGGGCTAAGGAACCGAGTAACAGACGTGGCTCAGGGCTCTCATGTGTGCAGTGAGACTTGAACCCCGGAAGCTGAGAAAGGGCTGCAGGTGAGTTTGGAGCACGTGGTAGTGTCTGCCCACCCCCACCCCGGTTGTCAGAGTAGGGGTTTGTGACGTCAGAGCCTCCTCAGGGCTCCCATTGGCTGGCGCAGAGCCTGGGTGAGGTAACAAAGTAGGGCGTGGCTCCTAGAGCTGCAGGAGGGTTCAGAAGAGGAAACGGAAACGGGGCTGGCCCAGAGGTCCGAAGCTGAGCCATGGAGGAGGAAGACTGTGGAATGCATGGCAAGTGGGCTGTCACTTGGATCACCATCAGGAAGCCCAAGGTGCAGGTGGAAGAGGAGCAGAGGCGCTCCAAGAGGAAGAGGGCGGAGGACAGCGCGGACCAGGCCGAGGCCCAGCAAGCAGAGGCACAGAGGGTGAGAGGACCCGGGCTGTGTCCTGCTCTTGTCCCTGGCCCTGTCCCCGGCCCGGCCCTGTCCTCCTGGTCCCAGCCCTTCCTCCTCCTCCCCCCAGGGCCGGGCAGGGCGGCCCCCAGCCCAGCACAGCCCCCCCTGACCAGGCCTCTCCTGTCCTCTCCTCTCCTGTCCTGTCCTGCAGAAGCAGAAGATCATCGACTGGGTGATCTCCGTGCTGGAAAACAGCCCCAACCAACACCACAAGCGCATGGTGATAGGGCTGTGCCAAAGGGGGATGAGGCAGAGGGACAGCGGCGACCCCAAGCCCAAAGCCCAGCCTGAACTGCAGCCCAACCCTGAGCCCCAGCCTGATCCTGTGGAGAAGCCTGAGTCTGGGGCTGACAGCGCGGTCTCAGGGGCTCCCCGCTGCTGCCTCGGCCTCCGCTTTGCTTCCAGGGCAGCCTCCGCCTCCACCATGGCCTCCACAACCACCTCCACCTCCAACGTGGCCTCCACGTCCACCTCCACCTTCACCTCCACCTAGGGAGTGGACCGAGGGGGCGGAGAAGCACAGGCCCCAGAAACTGGGAGGAGGGGACAGGGGAAGGGATGTTGGCCTCATGGAGACCAAGTGTGGACAATAAAGCACCGTCAAGACACGAAAGGGGGCCTCTGTGTGCATTTCTGCCCATTCCCTGAGGGCTGTGAAGGAAGGAAGGGCAGGAGGGTTAGGGAACAAGGCGGGAGGGGGACGGGGGAGGAAAGAGGAGGAAGGGAGGGGAATGAGAGGAATGAGGGGGGGAAGAAGGAGGGGAGGGAGGAGAGGGGAAGGGAGGGGAGGGAGAGGAAAGAGCTGGAAGGCAGGGGCTGGAGGAAGGACGGACTGGATCCTCGGCCTCGGCCTTGCGGGTAACCCCGGGCGCCAGCTGTCCAGGGTAAGGACTTCTCCCTCGAGCCCCAGCTCCGGGCTCCAGCCTCCTACCTGATGCAGTGTGTGTGTGGCTGAGCGCTCCTCCCCCCAGATGAAGCCCCGGTTCCGGTTCCACAAGGTGGTGCAGCGGAGTGGTCCTGAGGTCCGGGTGGAGGTTCTGCTCCAGCTCAGGGCTCAGGACCCACTCCTCCGCCTGTGCTGACTCACTCTCCCTCACTTCCGCTCCTCAGTTGCCTCCCCTTCTCTTCTCCGTGCCATTCTCAGCGTTAGAGGTGCGGCCTTCTCTTCCAGGGAGGGTGAATGAAATGTGTGGTTCTGCGTGTGGGCTCCTTTATACTTTCTCTTTCTATCGTTCATATTAATATTTCACTCAGCCCCATAGTTAAGGTCCATCTAGGCTCCTTAGCCATATCTAATCTGTTTTCCCTGTAAATGGATATGTCAGATACATTCATTTCACCTTGTCAATTTTAGAATGAAGTTTAGATTTTTAGTCTTTGTTCTCATTCTCTTATCCATATTGTTTGATTTATACTTTTGTGTTCAATATTCCTTTAGGGACTGTCAATCCTGTCTTATGTGTGATTTTGATTTGCAAATGTCCCTTTTGGCCATTATGAGGTGCAACTGAATTTTAGCTTTATATGTGGAATGGGAATGGGGATGCTCCCATAGACCACTGCAGTAGGTCTACAGTCTCCAATGAGGCGCTACAACACAAGCTGTTAAGAGTAAAGAAAGAAATAAGACAGAACTGGGTCTTGGGACTGATCTATGCTGCTCTGGGCAGTAAAGACAAAGGGTGTCAAGGGCACCCAGTATTTATTGATTACAAACATGAGAGGGGGAGCAGGGTATGCTTTGAAGACATCTAGTGACACAGTGTGAAGTGTTCAGAAGCATTTGGCCATGGCTGATATAGCTGATATGAAAACAGGGATGTAAAGTGGGAAGGCACTGCTTTGCCTTGCTTGGGGAGATCAAAGAGTGCTGAACCTGGGGTGCAGTTAACCAGCGTCTGCTAATACTTGACAGAGATGTCTGCTACAGCTTTAAACTTGCATTTTAAGATAATTTCATATTAATATACCAAAGTAACAATTGAAATAAATTTAATATAAAACACAAGGAAGATCATGTTGAGAAAACACCCTTCCAGATTCCGGATCTCGCATCCATACATAGGAAAAGATGTTTGAAAAATTAGAGAAAATTCCCTTCTTCTTTAAGGTTCTTTTATCCAGCAATGTCTCCTATTAAATAAAAACACCCTAGCATAGTAAGGTATAGCACAGAATTTACCAACCAAAGCTTTGAAGCCTGGCCCTGCTGGGATCATAATTTGGGGAAAATAGTTTAGCTTCTTGGAGTATTAATGTTTTGTCTGTAAAATTGGAATAGTAAATTCTCATTCCTTTTCAACCTGAGGACTAAATGAGGAAATGTCTGACTATCACCTAGATTAATGATTGATCACTGTTTTGCTAAAGATGGCTGGAAGGTAATTTCGTACATATCACCAGAATGCTGCCTTCACAAAGAAGCTGATGAAGGATCAAGGTGAGGTATAACTTGAGTAGCTTAAACTGATCAGTGTATGATAATAAATGTCCCATAACTTCACAGTGTATCCATAAAGATGTACAGTTATTATCTGTCAGCAAAGAAAAGGAAATGAATAGAAAAATAGAACTAATATGGGAGAGGTTAAGTCAACAATGCCAATACTCACTTTAAATGTTAATTTTAATGTTAATTTAATAGTGGTATTAGTTTCAGACAAAAAGGAGTTTGAGTAAAGGAAACTCTCAGGGATAAAATGGGGCATTGCATGATGACAATAGGGTCAACTCTTCAAGAAGACACAGGAGCCAGTTTGAAACTGAAAGCCAGAAATTCAGGAGAAGAGAAGGGAGAGTGATTGTTTAATAGTTATGGGGTTTCTATTTGGAGTGAAAAAATGTCTTGGAACAAGAAAGAAATAAGTAATGAATACTGAGTATGCACTCAATTCCATGGACTACTTTGCTTTCAAAATGCCAGTAGTTCATCTTTTTCTAATGTGAATATACTCCAGTTTAAAAAAATAGATAAAAGAATTATGCATTTTGAAAATATCACTTCCTGAATAATTACAACTGAAGTGGGAGAAGACTGACATGTTTGCTATTTCATCCCGTATATTGACCAAGACAGACATTACTTAAATGATTGTAGAATATTTCCTCTCCTAAGCACTGCTTAGCTTTAGAATCCTTCTCATTATAAAATATTTAATTTATTTATACTTTAGATTTCTCATATAAGAGAAACAGTGTGATATTTAATCTTCTGTGACTGACTTATTTCATTTAACTGTATGGTTTCAAAGTGCATCCAATTTCCTATGAATGACTCAAATTTATCCCTTTTCATAGCAGAATAGTACTCCATTGTGTATGAATGCCATATTTTTTTCTAATTATCTGATGGTGTACATGGAGCAACTCCCAAGATTTAGTTACTATGACTTGTGATGCTATAAATAGGGATAAGTATGTATCACTGTAATATGATGTCTTTAACTCTTTTGGGAAGATACCAAGAAGAGGAACACCTGGGTCAAATGGAATTTCTATCATTATTATTTTCAACAATTTCCAGTGCCACAACAACATCAGTGCAGGCTCACAGGCCCCAGCCAATGGCCACCCAAACAACAGCTGTGCAGGCATGCAGGTCTCACACAGAGGCCCACCCAGATAGCATTGGTAAGTGTGCAAGTGCACACAGACTTCAGCCAGAAGATGGGCTGGACATCAGTGGTTATGATAAACCGGCCCCAGCTTGAAGCCCACCCAGACAACAGAGGATCATCAATACCTACTTTGAGAACCTATATGTCAATAAGATGTCTACTCGGTCTGTTGTAATTTCAACCTTTTTATTTCTATTTGCATGGATTTGGGCCTTTTCTTTCTTTTTTCTGGTAAGATTGGCTGAAGGTTTGTCAATTTTGTTTATTCTTTTGAAGAACCAACTCCTTGCTTCATTATTTTTTGTATTTTTCTCTTAGTCTCCATTGCATTGATTTCTGGTCTGATCTTTATAATTTCCTCCATTGTATGAGCTTTGGGTTTGTCCTGCTCTTCTTTTTCTATAAGCTTGAGGGTCAGCATCAGGTGGTTTAATTTAGATCGCTCTGTTTTCCTAATATGTGTATTCACTGCAATGAATTTCTCTCATAAGACTGCTTTCATTGTGTCCCATAGATTCTGATATGTTGTATTGTCATTGCATTTAATTGTAGTTACTGTCTAATTTCTTCTGTGATGCATTGGTTATTCAGAAGTATGTTGTTCAATTTCCATGTATTTATGAAATTTTTCCAGTTTGCTTTGCTATTGATCTCCAATTTCATCGCACTATTGTCTGATAAGATACAAGGGATAACTTCAATTGCTTTGCACTTACTTAAACATGTTCTATGAGCGAGTATATGGTCTATTTTGGAGAACAACATGTTTGCAGCTGAAACGAATGTGTATTCTGATTTTGTGGGGTGGAACACTCTCTAAACTTCTGTTAAGTCTGTTTGTTCAAGAGTTTATTTGAGTTCCAGTATTTTGTTGTTGTTTCTTGTCTGGTTAACCTATCTATTTGTGACAGTGAGGTACTGAGGTCCCCACTCCTATTGTATTATTTGATTTTTCATATCCATTAGCATTTATTTTATATGGCTGGATGTACTAGTATTTGATGCATATATCTATTTATGATTGTCAACTCTTCCTCTTGGATTGTTCACTTTAAAAGGGTGTAGTGACCTTCTTTGTCTCTCTTACTTAGCCTTGGTTTGAAATCCATTTTATCTGCAAATAGGATAGCTACTTCTGCTTTTTTTCAGGTTCCTGTTGCATGGAGTATTTTCTACTCTTTGACTTTCAGTTTATGAGTTTGTTTTTGAATTAAGTGTGTATCTTGTATGCAGCATATTGTTGTATCTTGCCTCTTGACCCATTCTGCCAGTCTATTTCTTTTGATTGGTGAATTGAGATCATTAACATTGAGAGTTACAACTGATATGTATTGACTTCTCCTTGTTATGACATTTTCCAGTTGTTGGATTCTCCCCCTTTGCATATAATTTCTTGTTTTGACTCATAGATTCATTGTGGGCTTCATGGGGTCGTGAATCTCATTGTCTTTTCCTAGAATATCGTTTAAAATTTTTTGGAGTACTTGTTTTGTATTCATTAAGTTGTGCAGGTGTTCTTTGTCATGAAAGTATCTTATTTCCCCATCAATTTTGAAAGATAGATTTGCAGTGTACATCAATCTGGGTTGGAGGTTGTTTTCTTTTAGGCCTTTTAATTCTTCATTCCAGGCTCTTCTTGCCTTGATGGTTTGTGTTGAGAAGTCTGCTGTGATTCTGATGGGCTTTCCTTTGTATGCGATTTGTTTCTTTTCTCTTACTGCTTGTAGGATTTTGTTCTTCTATTGGGTTTCTGGAATCTTGATTATGGTATGCCTATGTGTTGGAAGGTAATTTTGTACATATCACCAGAATGTTGCCTTCACAAAGAAGCTGATGAAGGAGCAAAGTGATGTATAACTTGCATACCTTAAACAGATCAATATATGATGTATAAATGCCCCATAACTTCACAGTGTACCCATAAAGATGTACACTTATTTTCTGTCAGCAAAGAAAAGGAAATGAATAGAAAAATATAACTAATATGGGAGAGGTT